CCTCCCGCCGCCCGAAACTGCCGCAGCCCGCAGGCGTCCGTCCCTGCGCTCCCCCCTCCGCCTGGCCGCGATCGGCGCCCCCGGGAGAAGCAGCGCCTGCCCTGGCCGCGGAAGCCCCGCGCCACCCGCTCGCTCGCGACTCACATGCCGCCCTGAGCGCTGACGCTCCGTCCGAGCCCCCGACTTGCCAGAAAGTCCTGCTCAGCAGCCACGCTACTGAGCATGCCCGGCCGTTTTCGAGCACGCTCAGACTGTCCCGGTGAGGCCGCCTGCCCTTATCTGACGCTCGCTTGCCCTGCCCTCGGCGCCCTTAAGCTCGGGCCGGGCGTGACGGTCCGTTGTTGCGTAGGCTGGCGGGCTGTGTGAACCCGGCCAGCGAGGGTTTAGGGATCAGCCAAATTCGGCTTGGTGGGGTAGCTGAACCGTCTCTTTATTTGTGTAGTGACACTTGGATTGATTATGTGCCATCAGGTCGTTTTCAGCTCCTAAGGACCGCGTAGAATTTCTCCATGAATTACACTCTAGGTATAAAAAAACAATCCAAAATTCCAAGTATCCTCGAGGGCAACTTAGCTCTGCCCTTTCCCCTCGTTTTAGTACAACGTGGAATCCCTGAATTGTAACAGGATTAAATTAGTGTTAGGTTTTGTTTTTTTTTAATTGACCAAATTCATCATGGTACAATTAGTTATATACACAGATGAGGACTAAAACTAGAATTGCGCATATCATACTAACCAATGGTGAGCCTAAACTTGAATAACGGTGTTCATTTCTAAACCCTGCCTGTTATGAAGAATATTAGATGGGTACAGAAGGTGCAAAAAAGGGAACCAAATTATTAATGGGCTGGAGCAGTATCCATATAAACAAAGATTTATATAAACAGCAACTGACTCTCTAGCTTGGAACAAAGGAATGTAAGATGAGACATGATAACAATATTTGAAATAATGCAAGGCATAGAGAACATGACTTTTTTTCTGTGTCTTGCACAATATTAGAACTTGGCAAAGTCATCCACCAAATCTAAAGGAACCTCCTCATCCCCCACTCCCAAAAAAAATTATTTCCACAATATGTAGTTAAATTGTGGAATTCGCTGCTGGCAATTGTGATAATGGCAATCAGTCTGGATGAAACTGGCCAGTTTCATGGACCAGTGGCTCCCAGTATTGATGGCTATTGATATTTTGACTGATATATTGATAGCTCCCAGTACTGATAGCTATTTACTATTTACAGATTATGCACCTTTCACAAATTTGTATATAATCCAATACAACCATATTTTAAAACAAATATGTCACACAGTCCCTGGGTTCCCCAGTGACTACTTTGGTGTAAGACTCCTAGAATCTCCCTAGTGACATGTTTGTTTAACATTTGTTTTCCATCAGGGAGCTTCCACTTCCCATCGCTAGTTTGGGTGGCCCCAATTTTTACTAGTTGTTCTTTTTCTTTTTCCATAAACTGAGGTATTTCTTTAACAGAATCTAACGTGGGTATTAAAGGAAGCACTGTTACCCATTCTTCACTCAAAGCTGCTTCCTTAGCTTCTAAGTCTGCTAATCCATTTCCTTTTCCCTCATACGTGTTAGGTTTTTGATGTCCTTCCACATGGACTATTGCAACAACCGATGGTAACATGACATTTTCTAGAGTCTCCATAATCAAAGTTCCATGCACTAAATCCTTTCCCTTTGTATTCATTAAACCTCTTTCTGCCCAATTTTTTTCAAAAGTGTGTATTACTCCAAATGCATTCTTGGAATCAGTATATATGGTTCCCTCTTTATTCTTTATCAACTTTAGGGCCTGGCTCAATGCATACAACTCACAAGTCTGAGCCGACCAAGACAGGGGCAGTCTTCCTGCTCCTAGCAAAGTCAGTTCATCTCCATCAACTATAGCATATCCATTGTGTCTTTTTCCTTCTATTACCCAGGATGACCCATCTATAAACAGGTTGCACCCCTGTCCTAGAGGGAAATCTTTCAGATCATCTCTGACTTTGGTTTGGAGGTCTATAACTTCTGTACATGAGTGTGTTTCTTCCTCCATCATCTCCCCAATTCCTCTCAAAAACTGGGCTGGATTTAGAGCCGTATCGGTGGTTAATATTCAGTCTTTTTCTTCTGTTAAGATAGCTTCAGCTCTTTGATTTAAAATGCTTCTAACCTGGTGTGGTGTGCTTACCACCAAAGACCTCCAAAAGTAAGTTTCCTACTTTCCTTTACCAGCAAAGCAGTAGCAGCAATGGATTGGATACAGTTGGGCCATCCCCTACTTACCGGATCTAATATTTTGGAGAGGTATGCCACAGGTTGTCTTTTTCCTCCCCATTTTTGAGTCCAAACTCCTAAAGCGGTTCCCTGGTCTACATTCACAAATAAATGAAAGGGCTTTTCCAAAGAGGGTAAAGCTAACACTGGTGCAGAGACTAATTTCTGCTTAATCACTTCTATTATCCCTCTTTCTTCTTTTGTCCATTCTGTGTCATCAGGGCTCATCTTCTATCAGTTTACCACACAGTGGTTTCGTCAGTGTTGCGTAAGAGTCAACCCACAATCTACAATATCCCACTATTTCCAAGAATTTTCTTAATTCTTTTTTTTGTTTCTGGTAGTGGTTGTTTAATCACTCCCCAGATTCTTTCTGAATTTATTTTTCGCTTTCCTTCACTTATTAGATGACCTAGATATTTAACTTCCCTTTCTACATACTGCAATTTAGATTTGGAAACTCTCAAGCCTTGGCTTCCCAGAAAGTTAAGAAGCCTATTTGTAGTTTCCTTTACTCCGTTCCTCTTTCTTCCCGAGATCAAAAGGTCATCCACATATTGCAATAATTTAGTTCCTTTTACAACTTGAAACTTTTCCAAAACCCTCTCAAGGACTTGTCCAAATAAATTAGGTGACTCAGTGAATCCTTGTGGTAGTACCGTCCACCTAAATTGTTGTTTTCTATTGGTGAAGGGATTCTCCCATTCAGATGCAAACATGTCCCTGGATCCTTCATCCAGAGGACAACTCCAGAAGGGATCTGTAAGGTCTGTAACACTAAACCAAGCATGATTATGTGGAATACCGCCTAATAGCGTATAAGGATTGGGTACCACAGGATGCCTCACTTCCACTATTTCATTTAGTTTTCTGAAGTCTAACACCAATCTATAACTGCCATCAGGTTTACGAACCGGTAAGACGGGGGTGTTCAAAGGAGACAGACATGGTTCTAAGAGTCCATCTTTCAACAGACCATCTATAACCGGCTGCAGACCCTTTCTTCCTTCTAATGAGATATTATATTGTCTTTGCCTAATGGTTTCTCCTGGATTTTTCATTTTTATTTTCAATGGGGTTATTTCTAAACCTCCCCTATTTCCCTCTTTTACCCAGACTATAGGATCAATTTGTTTCTCATCTTCAGGAGTCAGTTTGGCTATTACTACAGAATTTAGGTTTTCCGGATAGGAATTCAATTTCAAGTGATCTGTTGTTATTTCTAATTCTAATGCAGTTATGGCATCTCTTCCCAATAAAGATGTACCAGCCTTGGGGACATATAGGAGGTTTAAGCCCGATATTATTCTGTTGCCTAATTGCAAATTTGCTTTCTTGAATTCCAGTACAGGAAAACTCTCTCCTTTTACACCTGACACCTTGATGCAATTTTTGGATAATTTCAGCCTGTGGGGAATATAGCTTAAAGATGTTCGAGCTGCCCCTGTGTCTACTAGGAAGGTTACTTCTTCATGTTCAGGTCCCACATAAATGTTTATCAACGGCTCTTGGTGAGACCTCAACCACAATAGCCCCTATTGTTCTTCAAATTGTATCAATGAATATACTTTCTCTTCCTTTTTGGTGAGAGGACAATCTCATTTAAAGTGTCCTTCTTTCCCACAACCGAAACACTTCGGTGGAGGGCGACTGGGTCGCTATCGTCCTCCATCAAGTGGCAACAGGGATTTCTGCATTTTATGGTTAACTGCACGACCTCTGTTTGGGAAGTTTCGTTGCTTTTGGTTCCAATCATTTTGATGGTCTTTTATTTTACGGTCAACCACCTGATTAATTGTACTGACCATCATATTAGCCTTCTGTTTGTGTTTTTCTCCCTCTCTTTTAACATACACTTTCTGGGCTTCCCTTAATAACTCATCTAAAGGTTTCTCACTCCAACCCTCCAATTTTTGGAGCTTCTTTTGTATGTCTGGCCCTGGCTTTGTCACAAAACTGACTTTCAACAAGCCTTGTGCCAATAGATCATCAGGGTTCATCCCTGAGAATTTACGCATTTGATCTTTTAATCTCTGCAAAAACACACTAGGGGTTTCATCTTTTTCTTGCTCATCTTTTTCAAAAGCCTTTTTAAAATTTTGTAATTTAGGTACAGATTCTTTTATTCCTTGTATTACCCTATTTCTCAGATCCATCATATTATTTCGATGTCCAGCATCGTTATTATTCCATCCTGGGTCAACTGGGAAATTTTTGATCACCGGATGGATGTCCCTGCCCTAGGGGATGGCGTTTCTCCCAGTCCGCCATAGCAGCTCTTCGAATTAAACCTCTCTCTTCTCCCCCAAAGAGAATACTCATTACTGACATCAATTCGGCCCAAGTACATATACTGGGAACCAGGAATTGATCAAATTGTTCAACCATCCCAATGGGATCTTCTATTAAACTTTTTAATTCTTTCTTGAAATCTCTTACTTCATTGGTAGTAAGAGGGGAATTTATAATAATATTTTATAATAATTATAATTTATAATAAGAGGTCTGTTGCCACCCATTGGCACTTCCCTTAATGGGTACATGCCGCAATTTTATTTTCGCCCAGCTCATTAGTTGGGGCACTGGGATATAGTTTTTCTGGTTGATGGTAGGGTGGAGGTAAATTATCAGATTTTTCACAATTTGATCTTTCACTCTCTTTCTCATCCTGAACTGTCATAAGAATTTTGGAAGCAGTTCCAGGAATCCAACAAAAAGCATATTCTGATTCTTTCTTGTCCACTTTTTT